AATACAAGGTTAAGATAAACGCTGCCGTCACCGAATCCACTACGTCATATACATAGAGAGGGCGAGACTTGAAATTTTTATTATCAAAAAAAAAGGTAATTTTTGCCTTTGAAAAATATATATGTATGTGATGCTAATAAAATGAATATGCGAAAATTTGTTTACGAGGTGAGCCAATTAAGTAATAAGACTGATTATAACGCTGCGATCTTGAAATTTCCTTTCCCTTCTCCCGGCATCCCACTTTTCTCCATTGTTATATAATATTTGCCATCGCTTTAGCTTGTTTAGTTCGACCACTGCACTGCGCCAAATTGGGCGAAACAGCATGGAGATAGTGCTCTCAGTGGTATCCAGGTGTTTTGACGGCACAAAGAGTTTAAGCTCGCATGATTATTGCCTTTTATGGTAGCCGAGGAATCAGCGACAAAGAATTTCTTCCACCGGAGCAAACCGTGAACCAAGTCTACTATCGCCAAGTACTCGAAAGATTGCGAAAACGATTCAACAGGGTGCGCCCAGACATCGCTCATAACTAGATCAGTCATCACGACAACCGGCCGTGCCACACCGCTTCTTCCGCGCGCACTTCGAAGCTTAGTTGTGGCTTTATGGGTTCGTAAATAAGCAGAATTGCCGACTTTGGAGTGAAGATCAGCCAGAAGCATTGCGAGAGCTACCAATGCATGCTGGTGGCATCATTTGACCGTACTTCTTCTAAGATGATGGAAATTGTAACGTAAAGGTGAGATGCTATCAAACTTTTTTTTGTACAAAATGCAAGAGGTTGACTTGCATGACATGTGGTTTCAACAGGGCGGTGCCATCTGGAACTTATCCAAACAATGTGTAAAAATTGTCCTCAACGATGCTCGGCTGAAGGAGAAGCAACTCGCCGAAATAGTTGGAGTATTCATTCCAATCATTTTTAAAATCCTGCACGATCATCTTGGCATGACCAAGGTTAGCGTAAGATGAGTGTCGAGAGTGCTCGTGCCTCCGCGTTGAGTTTTCACATGCAATTTTAGACTCTTTGATGACAGCGCATTGAGTAATTACTGCAGCCGAAAATTATATTCATCATGCGGAGCCTGATTTGAAACAGAGCTCAAGGTGTCACAGACCGCTCGTGGCAACAGTCTTTTGGTACTCCGAAAAATGATTATTCATCGATTATAAAGTTTTTTCTCTAACTATCACGCTTCACTGCTAGAACGACTAAGGGGATCCATCAAAGAGAAAAGACGATAAATTTGGCAAAAGGTGTGCTGATTTTGTTCGACAACGCGACCGTCCATAACAGTCACATTACTGCCCTGCATTAAATGGGAATTTTTATTAATTTTATCTTGAACCACCCCAATACAGCTGAGAACTTATTCGGATGTGTAATTATCTGCTTCCACAAATTAAAGAAGGGGCTGAGGCTTAAAAAATCTATCACCGACTTGTAACTTTATAAGACATTGTCGGCGTATTTTCTAGGTGAGGAGAAAATATTTATTTATGAGGCGATTAATAAAAGAGTTTATCAGTCTTGCAGGTGAATTAAAAAAAGGAAAAATAATTAAGTTTTTTCTTGTATTTCCAAATTATATCTCACATTCCGTCAAGCATTAAACCATTTCCTTGTCAATATATTTCAATTGCGGGACAGTCGAGTGTTTCTAAGAACTAATTACAATACAATTGGGGAAGCGATCTGATCCCACACAAACATTATTCTTCTGAATGGATGAAGCTATTTTTATAACTACTCTTTCTCGGGAGTATATGGCGACTGAATCGACTGCCTATTATTCAGTGGGAATTTTAAGATCAAAGGTATATCAGTCCTTGCGTCGCATCCGACTCGATCGACCCTGTAATTATCGATTCAATGGAAAAACTCAAAAGCTATTGGCATATATGAGTCCTTGATTTGAAATCGTTAGCAATTAATTGTCCTCTTGGGGAAATTGATTTTTACAGGATTCTCTTGAGAATCTTCTGACGAGTCACTATCGATCTGTCTGGGTTGACGTTGTCCTGGTGAAACACAGTTCTACTCCTATTGGTACAAGTCGCTCCAATTGCTAACAGAATAAGTTCCATTAAAGAGTTTAGCCATATGGGAGTAGCTCACGCTTGTCAATTCTGCTTCTGTTGCTGTTAATAATACACTTTTAGTCAACAGTCATTATCCGATCCAAAACTCGTTCGATGGGTTATTACAATTCACTAGTGATTTGCAATGCATTCCATGAAATTTTCCTTCTTGTTAACTCATGTGGCACCCACTCATCGAGCTTCTTTGGGTATCCAGCCATTTTCTAGTGACTCCAAACTGTTTTTTGTGCAATCAAATCAGTACTCGCGCGACGATAAGACTTGACGATTCTCATTATTTTATCGATATTTTCGATAATAGGCCTTCCACACCATGGAGCATCTTTTTCATTAAAAATATACCGGAATAGACCATAAACACTATTCACCTTTTTAGGGTTCTGACTTGCTTATATTGAAGAACAATTGCAAAGCGTAGCGAATTTTCTCTTTGCTGGTATCCATCTTACTGCTGTAAGAAAAGGCTCTAGAGGTGGACATTCAGACAAAATTTTTCCGAATTTTTCCCTTGTCAAATAGATTTCCACATTTAGACATTAAAAAAGTCTATATTTTTTTCCATTTGTCTTCATTTGAAGTGAACGAAAAGTGATGCGTCACCTCCAAAAAAAATTACTTTCAAACGAAATCACTTCAAAAATTAGCTGCATATTTCGATTTTGTGCAATTAAGCGCCAAATCTCATTCAAACATTTAAGTCAATTATGTAATCGTCAACAAAATTATAGAATATAATACTATTTAGTACATTTAAGAGTATGAAGTGAGACACAACTCTTATTTAGCAGTTGACGAAATCGTACCCTCGAACCCCGAACGCTTTCTGCACACTTTAGAGTACCACGACTGTGTGCATAATTTGCTTTGTACTTGTTAATTATAATTTGCAGACAAAAAGGCAAACGTAATTCAATTTCACTCAAAAACAACATAAAATGCTCTTAAATGCATATGTATGTATGTGTGTGGGTTTGGTTGAGCGTTGCTTTGCATTATTGCTCAACAAAAGCAGCAAACGTAATACTGTTTACGCAGCCAAATGTAGAAATGGTAACTGTATTCATACAAAAAAAAAAAAACAACAACAATGAAGAGTGAAAAGCTGAGAGATGAGTTAATACGAACATTCATTCAATGTGCCTTTGGGCACGCACTTTATGCTGCTGCACGTATGTATATGTTGGCTAGAAGGGGGTGACGAGCAATTTGCGTTTGAGCAGACAAAATGGCAGTTGCAGCTGGCAGTGAATTTTGTCATTTCGCAGACCGGGCTATGCCTTTAGAAAATTAACAAACAATGCTATATCCACCTATGTATCTATGTGTGTACATATGTTCATTCGCCCAAGTGTGTATGTGTGTGAGGAAGTGGGTGTGTTTCCGTGTAAGTATTTTCTTCACCAGTTGACAGATTTCATATATAAATTTGCCATGCAATATACATATATGCGAAACATGTGGGCAATTACACGGATTATTTAGAATTTTATATTCATTTGTTACTTTGGTATGGAAAATATAAATTCTTTGAAATTATTTAAAGATATTTGCTTCAATTTATGTTGAAATTCAAAATACGAAATAAGAGATCGCATAATTAACAATGCCACTAACCACATCTTGTGTGATTATTAAGTCGACACATTGGTTTGTTCGGAAGAATAATCCAACATAGTTTTTAGTGTCCTATCTAAATATTATCAATTTCCGAAACTTATTTAAGCATTCTTATTGGAAAGAAGAGCTACGTAGTTAAACTCATAATTCTCACTTACATACTCAATTGCAATTTAGCGGAAATCATCTCTAAAGAGTGCCTAGTAATGAGCACGGTAAATAAGCTTCAAGAGCACAACTTTTAGCCAACCAAAATGGAATCTCATTTCTGAACAAATCTTAACTGGAGATGAAAAATGAATCGTTTACAATCACGTCAATCGAAAACTATCATGGTCCAACCAAAAGAAAATTCTGCTGTCAGTTTGCTGGGATTGGAAGGGTGTGGTATAATTTGAGTTACTTCCAGGGAGCCAAACGACTAACTCGGATGTCTACTGTGAACAACTGAACAAATTGAACGCTAGACCGCACTCATCGTCGTTACTCGTTAAACACTGAGACAGCTTGGCTGGGAACTCTTGATGCTTCCACCATATAGCACTGATCTTGGACCGTCAGACTACTATTTATTTTGATCTTTGCAGAACTCATTAAATGGTAAATCTTTCGAAAATGACGAGGCTAAAAAATCGCACTTGTTTCAGTTTTTTGCAAATGAAAGGCAGCAGTTCTATGAGCGGGAAATAATTATGTTGCCAGAAAGATGGTGAAAGGACATCCAACAAAATAGAAATTACATAAAAAATGCTTTTAAATTTTTGAGCCATCCCAATAGTACACACATATGCTACAGAAGTCCAATATCACAATTTCTGATAAGCCAGCGCAGTAATGACTACAATTTGGTTGAAATATCTTGTCATTCTTATCTGATCGGTAAATATTTTGATGCTTTAATGTACTACTGTGGCCAAAAAGTAAGGTGAGTTTGTTTGTAAAATTAAAAATCTTTATTTATAGCTCTACATCGATTTCGTCGCCTTCAAAATAGTCCCCTGCCGTTGTAATGCACTTATGCCAACGCCTTTACCAATTGGCGAAGCATGTCAAATAGTCACGTTGTGGTAGGGCCTTCAGTAGGGCCACCGATTTACTTTTAATCTCCTCAATCGACTCAAAACGGTGTCCTCCAAGTGCTCTCTTGAGTTTTTGGAAGAACAGGAAGTCACATGGTGCTAAGTCCGGCGAATATAGTGGTTGGAGAGAAATATTCGTGGAATTCTTAGCGAAATGGTCACGAAGAATGAGTGCTGTGTGAGACGGTGCATTACCGTGATGCAAAAACCAACAGTTGTTGGCCCATAATTCTGGTACTTTTTTCGCGAATTGCTTGACGCAAATGTTTTTGCAGATCCTTCAGATATTCCAACCATATCGGTAAGGTCTCTTACAGTCAATCGACGATTTTTGATAGTAGAAAATTATTTTGCATGGTTTTAAAAGAAAATTTCAAAGCCGATGTTGTAGGTGTTTCCGTGGAATGACCCCTACATATAGGTATCTGAAAACCACGAGTATCTACAATGCGTGAATATGCCTACATGTCATCATATTTATACACACAACAGCTAATAGCAACAACAATGGATTCGAAGTATTTAAACAAAATTGTACACACCAGTTGGTGGCGACAGAACGAAGAAATTACATTAAATATGAGGGATTATGCTAATTATTGCTTATTTTATTATGTTGAACAAAAGTGAAAAGCATTGAAATGAAATTTACCAAAAACAACTTATCGTGTTAAGTATGCAGGCAGTAATGAAAATACATACGCAACAATAACAACAAATTCTTAAATGAAGCTTCGAATTTGTTAATTTGCACAGCTCCAGTTGTCAGATTCATTGTCTCCACTTGGCATTTTAGGTTAACATGGGTAATGACAAATTGTGCTTACAATCGCTCATACACACATACATACATACATGTGTGTATATGTGTGTGCATATAGCGTTTTTCACTCAAGAATGTATCCAAACAAGGGGCTGTCAAATGTGTTCGTACTTGTATATAAGTACTTCCTTGTAAAATCTGATTTTGCTGCTGCATGTGGCAGAAAATGAGTACTAAGATTTCAGTTAAATGGCAGTTTCTAGTGTTTTCTACCTAAAATCTTTTCAGCTGTTCGTTAAAAGGCAGGCAATTGAATACAGTTTATATGCGGACAATTTTGCAATGGCCGGTCATCCATCCAACACCTTCTTAAGGACTACCCCAGACTAAAAGACATCCGCATCAAAGTATTGATGAGTGCATAAGTTCGTGCCCGAATTCAAGTGCAAACTAAAATTNATCTTTAGTTGCAGCGCCTACTGTTTTTCCTTTGCGGAATTCGTATAACATAATATGACGCATATGATCTTTTTCGTTGTCCATCTTCCATGCGTCTTTTCACTAAGCAACTCAAATCAAAATGAAGTTATTTTATGCTTGATTTACAGTTCGGACTGTAACCTTTCCAACGATATATAATATGTATATATTTCTTTCACGAGCGCCACTCTCAAACGATTTGAACGGCATCCACCGGAATCGGGCACGAACTTATACACCCATCCTATATTTTAAAAATCAACCCTTACCGATCTCTTAAAAGAACCTTCTCAACAAAACATTATATTATTTGAAACATTTATGAAAACCTCTAATGTAACACATTTAATTTATTTTATTAACGGACAGAGCTGAAAGCCCCGACAGCTAGTGCTTTTCTTTGTCTTCATTATAAGATTTTATATTTTGTAATGAATTATAATAAATAGATAAATAAATAAATTGAACAAAATGAATAAAAGTTTTAAAGTTTTATAAATTATAAATATTGTTGGAAAAAATTATATAAATTTAGCGGTAGCCTAGGGTGATTCACTACACGAACACTGGCAATACTACCAAAAAAGGAAGGTATGCTAAGCCGCCTGAAAATGATTTTATTTCATCTTCGCGAAATGACTAAATACCAATGCAAGGTGAGGCGGAGAAGTCGTTAACTTAAGGAGGTTTTAGTTAGAGCGCTTGTATCGAATGTTCGTTTCTAGAGAACATCCAAACATAATCCACCAGAAGATACATGCGCAAATCTGTAGCTATGTAAGAGTGAAGAGCACTGCCGACATGTTCAGTTGCTTTTGGAACTCGGTAGTGACAGCATTGGTGTGAAGTAAAACTGTAAGTTTACGTATGAATAAACTGGCTTATAGAAAGTTGTACAGTTACTATACTGGGTGCTTGCAAGAGCGAAAAGTGGACTTTGAATTTACATTAAAGGAACGGAAAAAAAATGATTGGCACTTTTCTTTAACGATATAGTGATTTAACTCGAAGATAACCTTATTTCAATAATTCATTTTCGCATTCTGCTCTTTTAAATAATTTGAACTTGGTTGTAGATTTTATGCACTCCAAACAAAAAAGTACTGTTTTTGGTATGAAATTATTTTCTTTATACAATAAAAACTCCCTTAACTTCAATACACTTCTTTCAATGATTCTCCAATAATTTTATGCCATCCCGACACTGACTTTCCGGAAGCCCAGCAAAATATCCGCCTACGGCTGTTGTTGCTTCTTCGTTTGACGAGAAATTCTGTCCACGAATGAATTCTTTCGGGTTTACGAAGGGTAGTAGTCGCTGATAGCTAAATCTCTGAATACGGTGGAAGCTCAAATGATTCGTACTTTGATTCGTTAAATTTTGTCAATATTATAAAACATTTGTAGTATTTTCTCACCATTTTTTTCATCCAGCTGATTCAAAAGGCTGCGATAATGTTCAGTGCTGAAGGTTTTACCTTCCTGCAGATAGTCAGTCAAGAAAATTCTTTTTGGATGAGAAAAAGGTTGCTGTCATAAGCTTCTTTGTTGATTGTTGTGACTCCACCTGCTTTGGAACTGAACAACCAGCTTCAGTGCACTGTAAACGTTATTGCTTCAATTTAGGATCAGGGTGGTAGATCCAAGTATCATCAAAAGTTTTAAATCGACGCAACCAATTTGTCGCTTAAAATGCTCAAAATTGTGCTGAGATATTTGTTTGTAAACCTTCGTGTGGATCGTCTCAATCAAGCCTAGTATGACCACGTTTTAATTCACCAGAGAGGAGGACTTCTTTGCACTTCTAAAAATTGCTCATAAATTTCCTTTGCTTTTAAAATATTGAAATTTGTAAACAAAGAACGAATTGATAGAATGACTTGTAACTTTGTTCTCACGACATATGTATCGACTTGTGATAGGAAAAATTGCGTAGCTAGTAGTGATGTTTATTGGAGAGCGCAGAAACTTTTCAACTAAGCTGCATATTGCAAATTTTTTTATTTTAACTCTTGGATTGTATTCAAATTTTAAAAATGGGGTTGCCTCTCCAAGTTATTTGCTAACCCTTTAAATTACATGTTCTTTGTCCTTGCAAAAATGCCGAAGGAGCTGGAATCCCAAACAGAAATGAATGGTAATGCACCAACGCCTTGATCGATGGTTAAAACCTCGATGAAAAAGTAGATTGTTAAGTCCACTCTCCGACGCAACACAAATTGTTCGAACATTTTAGCAGTCGAATACAGGAGTCTCACAGCGGTGTCACAATGTGTCTATTGGTCAAATTGGCGTGATGGAAATGACCCGCAGCCGCATCAATTTTACTCAATCCGTCAAATTATCTTTACTTTCATATTCTAAAAACGGCATTGCATTTATTTCAACAATTAAATGGTATTCAAATTCTCATCGAAGATTTCTAAATCATAAAACTTTTTCCATTGGCGATATAGCTAATAAGTTAGTTAAATAATTCTTCCAATCTTGAAAACTCTTTTCAAGCAATGAAATAACGCTAAACTAATAAAAAAAAACTTTTTCTTAATGTCGATACCCCCATAATAATGTAAAGATGTACGAATTTGAGTAAGTTTCGCATCTAGCCATCTTTGCTTAAATCGGGAAACATTCAACAGTCGATGTAAAAATCTATTTTTTTCATTTCGGTAGAAGCTTTTTGCAGCAGGAAATATTGAAGAAATTATTGTAATTTTATTATTAAAAGTTAATAGCGGCAAATATTCGATTGTTTCTTAATAAAACATTTTAGAGAAATTGTAATTGAAAAATAACCCATTTTCAATTATTAAATTTATTTATCCTAAATACAAATTCATATGTATATGTGTATCGTGTATCGCTCTTTTCTAGTAAATTCAATTTTTTTATTTTATTTAATATTAGACGATTTATGAAAAACTTTGCAGATGCAGTTTTTACAAAAACATTTTAAACACTGAATTTTGAACTAAACTATTTAAACTATTTGGGTATATGTATATAATACAGTTTTACATAAGTACGTGTATATACAAATTTATACACACATCCTTTTACACATATATACATACATATATATATATATATTTGTATGCCAAATTATGATGAATTATGAATTCATATTCCTAAAACAGAAAATTCAACTTAAATTTCAATCTTGTTGAAATTTTTATGAAGCAACGGTTACGCCGTCGATGACTATGTAACATCAACAAATTCTGAGATAAAAAATAGTTATGAACGACGATTTAATTTGAAAGTTTCCTGCCGAAAAACGAGCATACAGATCTTTATGCAAATATTTAAAGATATATACATATGTAACACTTAACTATGCGCATACCAGCCCATGTAAGGAGCTTCCCCAGTGAGTGGTTTGAAGTTCATGCTTGGTTTGAAAGAAATTCAAAGCATTCCATACGTGGTGCCATATTGTTAAACATGCACCTTTAATTAGAAAACATTCGAAAATATTTTAATACCTAATAGGAAATTTATATAATTTTCTAATACCATGTTTTATTAATTTGTTTCATTCAGTTATGAGCTCAACAGGCATCAAATGCTTAATGAAAGTTTTTTAAAAAATATAGATTTTCCACACCTCGAAATTTTCTAAAAAAATGAAGTATTTGAATTATGTAAAACTCGGTAGTTAAGTTGAAATTTATAAGTCACGAATAGTACGCATTTAGTGTTTTAGACAAAACTGAAAATCTTAGAGAAAACCCATAGTATATTTTGATATATACAGGGTGCTCTACCTTTATATCGGTATGTAAACGCCGAATAACTTTAACATTTACCAATCGAGCGATTGCAGTTGATATGTTTTGCCATGGATCGCTTCACACCGAAACAACGCGTTGAAATTTCGACACTATACATCGAATACAGTCGTTTCATTGTGTTAACTCAACATGCATTTCGGAAAAAATATCGCGGCAAAAAGGCACTATTTGTCAGATCACCTGTTTTAAACCCCCACAGACTGCTTTTTGTGGTGTTGTCTGTAAAGCAAGGTTTACGCCAACCAGTCCCAAGCTATTGA